GGAGAGCTTTCTTGATCAACTGGCTGTACAAACATTTATCGATGCCGTTCGTGATGGAGATGCCCAGCAGGCTTTGAGACTGGCTAGGCACGACAAAATTGAGAAAGCTTTGGCCCATGCGTTAGAATTCGAAGCCGCCAAGAAAGCTAGTCATGGAAGTGCGCGAGTACGTATGGTGGAACCTCGCAGTGACAGCCGGGTAAGAACAATCGAAGAGGAAGGTGGCTCTGGAAGTTTTGAAGAAAAGGTCAGTAAAGAAGTGGAAGAAAAGGTCAGTAAAGTAATGGAAGAAAAGATCAATAAAGCAATACAGTCACTGGCAAAGAAACGTGAACCACGGCGAGATTGGACACGTTCGCCGCAACTGCCAAAAACCATTGCAGCAGTCGGAAAACTAAGAAAGGTCGACAGGAAGGGGCTATCGTCGACCTGCAGAAACAAAGCCCCGATCTTCACTGTAAACATTTCGTCGTCTGGAAAAGTTCACAATAATGCAGACGCTTTGTCAAGAAGACCGTGCAAGGACAACTGCACACATTGTTCTAAAATAGAAGACAAGATTGGCCATCTGCGACGAACAACTGTAGAGAGTGAGGAATGGAAGCCAAGCGAAATCAAAACGGCCCAAGAAAACGACCCAAGTTTAAAAACTGTTCTGAATTGGATGCGCCACGGACAAAGACCAGACTGGCAAGACATTAGTGCCACAAGTCCTGAAGTAAAGAGTTATTGGGCCAATGGAATAGCCTGACTCTGAAAGACAACCTGTTGTATAGGACCCTTGAAAGTGAAGATGGCACCGAATCGACGCTGCAATTAGTAGTACCTAGAAGCAAAATGTCGGAAGTATTGCGAAAATTGCATGACGGCGCTTCCGGAGGACACTTTGGTATTACGAAAACGTTGCAAAGGGTACGTGAGCGATTCTATTGGGTCAACCGTAAAGAAGATGTCCGGCGATGGTGTCAAAAATGTGAGTTATGTGCTACTGGAAACGGACCAGTTTCCAAGAAGAAGGCACCCATGAGGCAGTATAACGTTGGTAGTCCGATGGAACGAGTTGCTATCGATTTCGCAGGACCGTTTCCCGAGACAGATGGCGGAAATAAATATATCCTAGTCGCTATGGATTATTTCACAAAGTGGACTGAAGCTTACGCCATTCCAAACCAAGAGGAAGCAACAGTTGCAGAAGTGTTGGTAAAGGAGTTCTTTACACGTTTTGGTGTTCCTATAGAAATCCATTCAGACCAAGGAAGGAACTTTGAATCGGCTTTGTTCCAAGATGTTTGTCGATTGGTAGGAGCAATAAAACAAGAACAACACCTTTGCATCCTCAGTCAGATGGAATGGTTGAGAGAATGAATCGAACGATGGGTAAATATCTTTCAAAAGTCGTGGCAGAACATCAAAAAAATTGGGACCAGTACCTCCACCTGTTCCTTATGGCATATCGATCAGCCGTCAACGAGACCACGGGTCAGACTCCTGCCTGCCTTATGTTGGGTCGTGAACTACGCCTTCCATGTGATCTCGAGTTTGGGCGTAAACCCCATGAAGAATATGTTGCAGGTGAAAATTATGTTGACCAACTAAAGGCGAAGATGAACGATATTCACGACTTGGCTAGAAGTCATATTCAGATTGCCAGCGATCGCATGAAAAATCAATACAACCTCCGCTCGGCCAATGAAACTTTTGAAGCTGGAGATCTGGTATGGCTGCACAATCCACAGAGACGAAGGGGTCTTTCTCCCAAGCTACAAAGACAATGGGAAGGTCCGTATGAGGTGATCAAGAAATAAATGACGTGATATATCGTATCAGAATGAACCACCGAAAACCGAAAGTTGTCCACATTAATCGACTCGCACGATATGCCGGATCCAACAACAACGAAGAAGTTAGAGGTATTCGAGAAGAGGAACGCAGCTTTGGGATCGAGCCAAACTTTAACGATTTTATGTGAAATTACGCCCAGCGGAAGAAAGCTCGATTTGGCGTTACTCAGGAAATTTGTCAAAATATTTTTGAGCTTCCGGTTAACGTTTCCATCGCCCATTGTGTCGCCGAAGACCTTCGCATGGGTAGAGGTATAGCTTCCGTATTCCGGAAAAAATTTGGAAGAATAGACGAGTTGATAAAGCAAAGACCACGAGTGGGTAAAGTACTGCGCTTGGAAGATAGTCAACGCTCTTTGTTCTACTTGGTTTCAAAGAAAACGTCAGAAGGCAAACCCACCTATGAAAACCTCTGGTCTGCTTTAAAAAGCTTAAGGAAACTCATGGCATATTATGACATAAATAGCTTGGCGATTCCGAAGATTGGATGTGGTTTAGATGGGTTGGACTGGAAAATAGTGCGAACCATGATCGAAGTGATTTTTAGAAACACTAGCGTTCGAATTACAGTATGCTGCTTCAACCCACAGGGGACGACCCTCCGCAAAACTGTGGACTGTTACTTTTTCAAGAAAGGTGTTTGTCGAGCAGGCTCTGACTGCAGATTCCGACACGAGGCATTAAAAAGTAATACTAACGCAGTTTCTGAACGAGACGTCCAGAATTAAGAAGGGGGCAGTGTAACGGAAATGCTGCAGACATGACGTCGCCTTTGGCGTTCTGGAATTTTCTACGCGTATTCGAGAATGTACTGGACTTACATTGCTTGCGTGTATAAATAGTTGCGGACCGAACATCGCGGCAGTCTACTACGGAACGAGTACGTATGAAACATCGAGCGCGAAAATCTGAAATAAATTGCGAAGTGTGAGTGATATAAATAATCGATATAAATTGTACGGATTTTATAGTGTTTTAGTTTTGTTTAATAAATATTGATATAAATCGAACCCGAATTTTATAAATAACGTTACAATATTTATGCGAATTGCAAGAACGTCATAAATGGACTAATTCAAAGGGCGAATTATTTATTAATGGATATGATAGTAATTGTTAAAGAAGACAAATTACCGATATGTCAATGGAAAGTAGGACGGATAATAAAATTACATCCCGGACGAGACAATGTTGTTAGAGTTGCAGATGTAAAAACTGCCACTGGAATCCTGACTCGTTCTTTTTCCAAATTGTGTCCATTACCCATGAGTACTTAGTTGAAAGTATTGTCTTTCAAGGGGGGCGGAATGTTGCAATTTTGTGTTTATATACATTTAAAAATGATTAATAATCAAGTAATATGAAATAAAAACAATGATGTAAGAATTGTCAATAAAAAAAAGTTGTATTCGTTGCAATTAAAATTTATTCACAAATCGCGAACCAAATTATATTTTGCACTGACAATTCAACTCATGTATAAAAAATCGCATAAGCCGCAGTGAAATTGTCACTTTGACAGCGGCAAAAGTTACCTGCAACTTTTCCAGCGACAAATGCACTAGTGGTTTTTTCACTTATTCATTTTCGAACCAAATATCGTATTATCCTTTCCCATATGACTAGTTTGACGTCTGTCAATAATTGATTAATTTGGTGAATTTCTTGTTCGTTAAATTGTCCTGCCGAATTACACTCGAGGTTTGTATTTAAACCGAGTAAATTTGGGTTGTGGCAATTCAAATCTGTTTCCTTTTAGCAATTGGACTCGAAAAACTGTCAACCTAAAAATGCTCCACCTGCGGTGTCGCATTTTTATTAGTTGACAGTTTTTCTCGTCTAATTACTAGGCAACACATTTTTATTACCTAAACAACCCAAATTTACTCGGTAAAATACAAACCTCTTGTGCAATTATAAGTGACAAAAATCAGTACAGTTTGCAATTCGGGACACAAATGTTCGGAGTGCGAATAGGACACTGTGAATATTGAATCAATTAGACTCAACTTTTGGGATTGCGTTGATTCATGCAATTCGATTCATAACAAACGGAGATGTCAAAAGGGCCTTCCTTATTTTTTGGCCTACATTATCAATTCACGAACTCCGACCTACAAATTTAATCAAAAATCCACCTACAAAATTTCATCGTAATCGATCCACTCGTTTTGGACGCCTTTTAACATTTGAGCGTTTCATATAAACGTTACATATAAACTTCGAAACTAGCATCCTATAAGTGTTTTCAACACTAAAAATTTCAATGTATAGTCAAAAAGCGCGTGAAACACTTCCGGACGGAGTTCCCGCAATTGGAGAAACGCTGTATAAGCTTCGAGGGACTACGTAACATATAATACATATAATCATATATAATACCATAAGTAGTCGAAGTATTGTCGAATATTTTTGAGCTGCTGTCACGAATGCTAGTTACGCTGATTAATACCACGAGCGCTTGCGCGAGTGGTATTAAAAAGCGTAACTAGCATGAGTGGAGCAGCAAAATTACCGATAATTTTTTTGAAAGCATGTTGTCCAAAAACTGCATGAGTTTATTTTCATATTTTGGCGAAAGAGCCCGACACCGAAGGTGGAGTGCTCTTTTAACAAACTATGAAAATGACCGAATGCAGTTTTTTACTGACAACATGCTTGAATAAAAAATTATCAGGTTTATTTTGATGCACGAGTGTAATTTAGGGGAACATTTCCCGAACAAGCATTACTTGTCAACCTGACGTTACCTACTTATAAATTGTCGGTGTATTGTGAAATTGTCCAAAGGAGTTGCCAGTTGCCATGGATATGGACAGTGCAATTATCGCAGGGCTCTTTCGCTTTCTACAGTGCAATTATCGCTGTAATTGAGCGATAATTGCACACCTCATATGGCATTTATGACATATGAGGGAAATATTCACTATAATTCGTTCCCATTGGCTCAACAATTTGAAATCTCGACATTTCACTGGTCGAAATGTGACAAATGTCAAATGAATTGAATAGCCAAATATATTTTGACTATGTACCATTTAATGCGATTGACTAGTATTGACTTTGCTTTATCAAAACGAAATTGAAAGGTTAAGATAGCGTGTGGGGTTTCAACCTCTTACACTCCATGGCGAAATCTTAGTGTATATAAATAAAAGCAGAAAATTTAGTATACTTCCAACAGTGAATCGTGTACTTGATTACTGATCGTACAATGTTTCTGATTTTAATATTACTCGCTCTTTGCCTGTTTGTTTACTTTGCGCTAATTAAACCTGTCCAACATTGGACGAGGAGAGGCGTGGTTCAGCTTAGCGTTGGAAGACAGTGGTGGGAAAATGTGAAGATGATTATGCAGCTCACGCCGATGTCGGATATCTATAGGTTGATGTACGACGCCTTTCCCGATGTCAGGTAATTTTAAGTTCTTATTTAGGGATTAAGGAAGTACTTTTGTGATTGTTGCTAATATTACCTAATATCCCACGTTTTCTTCAAGAATCATTTATTTTGAGGACAAAAGAACGGACAAGTCCACCTTTTCTCTTGCAAATAGTACTAGTAAGTACTATTGTTCATGTAGGTGTTGGTAGTCAAATGCATCAAGCCCACATCTTTGTGCATTTAGCACTCTGATTCTGCAGAAAAGAAGTTACCAAAAATAAGCCAAATTCCAATTTCATCATTTAATGTTGTAAATTTTGTTTGTATTTATTTAACAATCAACGATTAAGGTCCAACAACGATAAAAAATGTTTATTCTCATTTATTACACGACGTTTGCTATTTTAATATTTTTAACCTTTTAATCTCTATCGTTATTTAAGAAACAAAGTGAAGAAGCTGCTTCTTTCCCGAAAGTTTGCTTGCAGTTTGGACCTGAGCGACGACGGCCATACCTCAAATAGAGATTTGATTACATTAGTATAATCAATTATACAGAAGAACACGGTTACTTTCAATAGGATCAGAATTAAACTTTGTCGCTCTTTGACCCTTGGAAGATTTACAAAGTTATAACCAACATAATTATGTAGAAGAGTTCGAAACAAACATTCACAAAGAAGAACAATGATCTGAAATGTTTCATTTAGAAACTACGTTTGCAAGTGTTTCAAAATGTGTTACAACCCGAACATTTTTTTACGAAATCATTTTGCTCTCTATTTGTTATTCAGTTACCATGACTTCGGTTGTTTACTTTAAGAAAATCATAGTACGACATTTCGCAAATGCTAGATTTATTTTAATTAGAATAGGTTTTGTGGAAAAATTATGTGTACAGTGTAGTAATATTGAGCAACGGGCCAAAGGCGCGGCGATTATACTCTCTCGCGCCAATAAAAGAAAGCACTCGCCCGCTTTGCTCGCTCGAGAGTAAATTGTTGTTGGTTCAAAGGTTAATAGACGAGTAATAAGAAAAACACAACACGACTTACAAAAATATGTCCGTTATATTTGCAATATTAAACGTACAGGTTATCCATTTTGTGGCTTCAGAAACAAAACGTAAAAAAATACTTTTTGCCACATTTCGGTAGGTATCTCGACCAATGTTGGTTTTCAAATGCTCTAAAGTTAGTGGATTTTCAGCAATAAACACGATCTTTTGCATGGCCCCACAAAAAAAATCCAACGGCGTCAAATCGCATGGTCTCCGTGACCAATTAACACCACCAAAACGTGAAATTAGACGTCCATCAAACTTCTCGCGCATCAATAGAGCCAAAATTGGTCGTCTTGTGTGGCCTGTTGGGCCGTCTTGCCGGAACCACATGTCGTCCAAGTCCATATCTTCAATCGCCGACCAAAAAAGTCTACTATCATTCGATCATATCGCAGGGAAGGTAGAGGTCATCCTTTCGTCGTTTTCGAAAAAATATGGCCCTATGACGCCGCCAGCCCATAATGCGCGCCAGTCACTTTTTGTGGATGCAACTGCCTCTCTTCAATCGTTTTCAGAGCCCCAGATTCAGCAATTTTGCTTATTCACGTAGCCACCAAGCGAAAAATGTGCCTCATTGCTGAAGAAAATTTTGTACAAAAAATCAGCATTTACAGTCGGTTGCTCAATGCGTATCTTTTGCGTTGTTGATAGTCAGCAGGCTTTAATTGTTGTATGAACTGGACTTTATACGATCCATTTTCGTAAATGTCAAACATTCAACTAAAACTTTGACACTTCGGTTGACAGATATGTTTGACAGCTATAAAGTGACAGCTCTACGGTTCTGAAACCAGAAAATGGATAACTCATTACAACACAGAGAAAATCTTAATCAATCATAATAAGGTCACAAAGGGAAACACTCCAAAATATGCAATCGTACGCGCGTTTTGTATACAGGGTGGCCCAACGAAGACGGAACAGACCGAATAACTCGTAAAGAAATAGTTCTTGAAAAAAACGCAAAAACACGTCAATTTTCGTTGGAAAGGGTATATCTTTTACTTCAAAATTTACACCCCTAAGCCAGGGTTGCCACCTCTTCAATAATCTTACATTGAACGTTGGGTCAAGTGACGCATTATTGGAAAGTGCTCTCAATTCCCTACACGCCTATGGTTTAGTTTTCAAATTCGAGCGACTCTTTTGGAAGATACACTGGACTGTTATAGGGATCAATTAAATACAACAAACGATGTAAGTAAGTACGCCTGGTCTACTGAAATAAAATCGTATCAGTATTTTACCATCAGTAGGTACCTAAAAACCGAACTAAAACCCAAATCCATCTGGCTTATCAGATAATACATCAGTTGTTCATAATAGGGATACGTTTAGCCAGGTTTTTTATACAGGATCGCTGATAAGTCAGGGATCGGTCGATTATCGGTGAAAATATAGAAATATGTTTTATACAAAAGTTTTGGGGTTTTTCAATGTCTACTAGGCAGTAATAATTTTAATTATACAGGGTCGCTCATAAAGGCGCGGCACACCAAAATTGCATTTTTAATGGAATAATAAAATGGCCAAATTTCAATTCTTATCTCATTTTTAATTAAAATTTGTAATAAGCATAATGTACCTAAATTCAATCGTTTCCGATTATCGAATTTTGAAAATAAACGCTATTATTTCATTAATAATTGAACAAAAAACAATGATTAATGATTCCAAACAAGCATAACAAACTTTACAAAAGGTTCTTTTCAGAACCATAGAATGTTTTTAAAAAAATCCGTAATGTAATTAATTATTGTGGTTTATTCAATACATTTTAAAGCAATGTCTTTTATTTTCAAAACTCGATAACTCGGAAACGATTGCATTTGGGTGCTACTTACGAACTATGCTCAAAATTTAGAGAAAAATTTAAATATCGAATAATATATAGGGTGTGCAATGCAATATTAGTATGCCACGCCGTTATGTCCAACACTGTATAATTAAAATTAGTACTGCCTAGACATTAAAGAACCACAAATCTTTTGTATAAAACTTTTTTTGATAACCTGTATATTTTCGCCGATAATCGACCGTTTCCAGAGTTATCAGAGACTCTGTATATAAATTTTTCAGGATTATTAAGTGATTTTTCGTGGTTTATGTTCTTCAGGATTTGACTTCAAATGTTCTCCAAAAGCCTTCTGCTATAGTGTAGATGTGCAGGCTACGTTTTGAGTCAGATTGCTCATTAGAACGATAATTTTAAACTTTGCTAATCAAATACTGTTCTGTATTACCAAAAATGCCCTTTCATCTTGCATATGCTGATTTACAACTTGTTTAACAAACATTCCTTGTTCCCTCATGGGTGTATCTAGTAGCATCTTCTTCGCTCTTGCTCTAAGTTGACTCTAGCCATTTGAATAGACCTCAGAATTCTATAAAGATTTTTCGGTGGCTCCTCTTCAAGAAATCCGTAGAGGTACGAGGTTTTCACGGCCATTTGATGTATCTCCATCCCATGTGTTGCAGCAAGTGCAGATCCACGAGTCACTGGTGCAAATGTTGCCGTAAAGCGCGGATGACGGGTTGCTGGTCGGATTCCTGTGCGACCAATCGCGCCTTCCGTTTCTCGATGACGCCATCAGAACACAACTTGTTAGAACCATGCGGCAACCAAAAACTTTCTATCTTTTGGGGCGGTCGGAAATCACTCGGGTCTTTTTTTCGACGATGGCATTGCGCTATTCATTCGCGTTAACTTCCGAAAGATCCACTTCGTCATTGTCCTCTAGAATAACATCTTTCAAGGTCTTTCCCTTGAACCAATCCTCACTTTCTCTGGTCGGCCAGGATCTCTGGGGGGGATTCCTCGAGCCACAGATAGTGCTACTGCACACTTCTCGACCCTGTTGTCGTTGGCTTCATGGTGTCATCCTTTACAAAACCCCGGAATCCTTCATCTCTTCATCGAAATTGTCGATCTACTAAGTTCTCGATTTCTTCCTCTAGTAGAACTGGTATCGAAACAGGACGCTTATCCTCTTAGAACTTAGACCAAATGCTGTATACTTTTGATTCTTCGCAACCGAGAGAAGTTCCGTTTAATCCGTGACGATCGAACTATCCTTTGGTCAAGCTAGCAAACCTTACTACCAAGAACTCTGAAACCGGATACCTTTCCACGTTTCAGCTTTTCGTGGCGATTTTCCAGATATTTTGCGGTATGTCTCAGCGCAAAGAGAATTAGGTAGATTAGATTCCTTTACAAGGCACCTAGCGACATCTACCAAGGTTCGAATCTTTAGTTCCGCCATACCATTCCTGTTCTAGATTGCGTGGGACTGTCAATCTGGGAATTCCTGTCTCTTCAGATGCAAACATTTTGCAGTTGTTCCCTTCTGATTTTCGACGAGTGCTATGAAGTCGGTGGTGGCCTTTCAACAATTTTATCGCACACCTCCTTGAACAATCGTCGATAAATTAGATAAAAATTTTGCCCCAAGATCTTCATCAGACGCTCTGATTTGTCGGGGAAACGGTATCCTCGTCCCCTAGCTCAGAACATGCGTCACAGTTAAATTTGTCAACGTCATCTATCAGTATCACGATACCTTTCCGAATGCTGTCCTGGATGTCTCGTATGTTGGCGTGACTCAGACGCCTGTCTAAAGCTACTTATACCTTACTTTCTTTCACGAATGTACCGGATCGCTGGATCGTGACTGGATTCGAGCACGAACGTAGTATAAGTCGTCGAATGTGGTTGCCAATTAAACGACTTTTCTGTTTGCGTCCCGTATCCCATTTTTCTGAAAATTATCGTCGAGACCTCGATCTGTAATCTTGCTAACAGATAAGAGATCAGTTCTCATGTTCGGAACATATAACGCGCTCTCTTTATTATTTTTCGGACACACGTTTTCTTTGTGCCCTGGCTTTTACATTTAAAACAATGAATCGTTCCGATTAATCAGGACTTATCTTTGATACATAGACGAAGGTCTTGGTAGTGGAGAATCACAGAACCAGATTATTCCATTGTAGGTTTTAAAATTCCAAACCGCGAATTTTTTATTTGTACTATTGCTGTGCCTGACCATCAGCCGTGCCGTGCTTTTTGGATTTGCTAGCTTAAAAATCTGAGCCAAGAAAACGTAAACGGTAGATAGTAATAAATTGTCCAGCTAGCAACATCTTGATCAAAGGTTCGACAAGATTGGAATATTCGTTTTCAAAGGGGCCAAAATTTTGGTTATTTTCAGCGTCTCTTTTGTCATTTTTCCACCAATTCGTTTAAGACTACAAAAAAAATCAAAATCAGAAACTGAGGTGAAGCGTCTAAATACTTGGATGACTCTCATTAGAAAGATTTGTGTACAGCTAAAAAAAATGCTTTCTCCGTTCTGGTATGTCGCATTTCACTGTCCACCTATGATGACCACCGGCCATGAGTTTTCCGCCTCATCCCATGAATCAAGGGTCTGGAACTATATAGTTTAAATTGCTGGTGGAAAATCTGGTTTACATGCATTACCTTGCCGGCAATGTTTCACTAAATTTGTTGGGGCTAATACAGTCAGCCCATGTAGAATAAATCGAAAAGCATACCTCAAAAAATTGGTAGAACTATTTAAAGCCATTTCTCCGATTTCAGATATGCTGGAGTGTACCTACTAACGAGTCCGCTGTTGGTAATCAAAGACCCTGAACTGATCAAGCAAATCACCGTCAAGGATTTCGAGTACTTTGTCGATCATAGTAGGTATCTTCCCGACGAAAGCGAACCTCTATGGGGCAAAAATCTGTTTGCTCTTAAAGGTAACGATATTCTTATTAAGGATTACGTCTACTGACTTTGAGCTACACAGGTGAGAGGTGGAAGGAAATGCGAGCAACTCTAAGTCCCGCGTTTACCAGCAGTAAAATGAAAACCATGTTTTTTCAAGTTTTATCGAACTGTAGCCAGAGGTTCGTAAATCATTTCAGAGTGGAAGGTTCCACCGACACGGTGAAAGTGGAACTCAAGGATGTTTTCACGAGGTTTACCAACGACGCTATTGCGTCCTCGTCGTTTGGCGTCGAATGCGATTCCCTAAAAGAGCCCGACAACGAGTTCTATCAAATTGGTCAGGAGGCGACGACTTACCGCGGATTTTGGAAAAATCTGAAGGTCATCATAATTAGTTTCTTACCAAAATTGGCTCTTGTAAGTAACTTGGTCTTTAACCAATTGGCTATCAGTGGACTGCTTTCAGTTTTTTGGAATTCGTCTATTTACCAACAACGTTAATGCCTTCTTTCGAAATCTTGTGGTTACTAACATCGCGGTGCGCGAAAAGGATGGAATCGTGCGACCTGACATGATTCACCTTCTGATGGAGGCGAGAAAAGGACGACTAAAGCATGAGCGGTCGAACGATGTAATCGACTCAGGATACGCCGTCATTGAAGAATCTAAAATTGGAAAGGAAGAGCATAGGCAAAAGTTGAATTTGAGTGATGATGATGTGACCGCCCAAGCTATGGTTTTTTTCAACGCCGGGTTCGAGTCGGTTGCCGCTTTTATGTGCTTTATCGCATACGAGCTTGCAGTTAATCCGTATATACAAGAAAGGTTACGGGAAGAAGTCGACAATGTTTTGAGGGAAGGAAACGGAACATTAACGTATGAAAGTCTAATGCAGATGGAGTACATGGATATGGTGCTAACGGGTAAAGTTAAGTGAATAGCGGATTAGCGCTAATATATCATTTCAGAGGCCTTACGCAAGTGGCCAACTCCTACATCAATAGATCGGAAGTGCGTCAAACCGTATACGATTCCACCTAAAAGGGAGGGTGAAAAACCAGTTCATCTGAAAAAGGGGGACATGGTTATTATGGTTATGTACGGAATGCAGCTGGACGAAAAGTACTATCCCGATCCCGACCGTTTCGATCCCGAAAGGTTCAGCAAAGAAAATCGAAAGAATATCGTACCTTACACTTATGTGCCGTTTGGTGTTGGACCGCGCAGCTGCATTGGAAACCGGTTAGCCCTACTCGAAGCTAAGGTGTTATTTTTTTACATTTTGAGATACTTCGAAATAGTCGTGGTTAAAGAATCGGTAGTACCAATAAAAATATCACGAAAAATAATGAAACTAAATCCAGAGAAAGGGTTTTGGTTCGGCCTGAAGCCCCGAACGGTTCATTACTAAATGTATCAATTAATAGAGTAAATAGAAATAAGTCATTAACGCAAAATAAAGTACTATCTATGTATATTGTATTTTCCTTTTTGCGTTATCATGGGGTGCACTAATCGCGGTTTGGGCGGATCGGAAACCTCGGGTAAACTCAATCAGAATAAACGGCAATTTCAGAAATTCTGAAGGGCAAGGCCGATGAAATTAAAGCCCACAGCAATTTCCCTAAGCGGGAATAATAAATAAATGAATTCTGTAACAGTATCTACGAGAAAGCAAATGCAGGAGAGCGAAACAATATCCCCCCTTATAATTAATGACACAGAAAGTAACTTGCAATTAAACGGAGCGGTAGAAATTAATGTGCAAGACAAAGCAAAAGCTATAAATACGGTGCGGTAAACTTAAGGTAAAAGCAATACGTAAACGGTATGAATGTAAAATTTTACGCAAAGGTCAACATTTTGAGAAAGTGCAAAAGGCTGAAAGGATTTTAAATACCGTTAAACACAAAAGATCTCCTCGAAATTAAGCGTTTACCCTATATAAACTTCCCAAAATTCCGGCCCGGTTGACTGTCCCAAAATTACAACTTCTTTAATTAACTGTGCGACCTGCTGACGTGCTAAAATTCGGTAATCGGTAATTGGATTTAAAATTCAAATCAATTAGGAGGGCTATTTTTGATACCCCTCACGACTATGTGGAAAGATGTTTACTGCAACACATTGATTTAGCTTCACTTACTTAATTGGCCGGATTGAAATTTCTATTGTTAATTGGAATGTTGGTATCAACCGGCGGAGTTGGTCATCTAATCTTGACGGAGCTGAAATTCCAAAATATTAATTTGCCATCGTCTTCTAAATGGCAAGAGCTTTCGGACGCAAAAAAAATAATTAAAGTATCTTGACGGGAACGGTTGCACATGGCGGATTATTACAACTTTCGTGTACGGTAGCGAAATTGTTTAAATCGTAGTTTAAAAATTAGATGACCACCAGTAAACCACAATAATTATATATTAAAATATCGAACGTTTGGTTCCACCCGGCCTCCGGGACGCACGGACCGACCATACTTCTGAGCGTGCCTTCTTGTTAATTTTTTCTTCGATGTCCAATTGAAATCGGCTTCCCAGCTGTGCTGTAGCCGGCCGGACCGATCACATAATCGGCAAGACCCTACACATTTTTGGCAGTACCGAACTTCAAGTCCTAATCCAGGGGACCAAGCAACAGAGGACCTTCCTTGTGGCCAACGACCTCGCAACGCTCATTATCCTGGGTTATGACTGGCTCCGCAACGAGGCCGCTCTAGATCACGGTTGCCGATGTGACCATTGGGATAGAAAACGCCGGAAATTCTCCCACTGGGCCCGCTCCGCCAAGCTTGACCGAGACCATCCCGCCGAAGCTCGAAGAGATACGCCATGGGTTTCCCACACAACTGCTCCACACACTTCGAGCTACCTCCTCGCCCACCACCGCCTCGAAAACGCACCGAATTCGACTGTACAATTCCACGCTCTTCCGCTTGCCGCCCTGCCGCTACTCGCAGACCAAGAAGGCGATCATCGACCAGGAGATCGAAACAATGCGGACGGCCCACATTTCTGGAGCTATAGACAGCGAAGGTGTTCTCCACACTGGATCTCAAATCGGGATATTGACGAGTCACTCACGCACCGGAATCTCGCGCACTCACCTCCTTCTCGACGCCCAGCGGTGCCTGCTACCAGGTTCGAGGGACGCCCCCCCCCCACCTTTCATAAGTTGATAACGCAAAATCGACTTCAACAGCACCACCTACGCTTCGCACAAAACAAGTGCCATTTTTAGGTTACTCTTCGCGCCGCTCCCAGACCCGCAACGCGCTAGCAGCTCCGCAGCTTCTTGGGTCTGAGCAAATTGCATACTAAGGAAGGGGGGCTGATTAACGTGGAAGGCCGCCGCGAACGGCTGTAAGCCGCCCGCTACCAGCCGCTAAGGCTCCCGACGACGAAAGGCCCGCCACCAAAAGCCCAAAAACACTCCTGAAAGAGTATACCTTTTTAGGGTATTCCCACAAAAATAAAAAAAAAGCGCTATTGTGGCCACTTTGTCCGTCCGTCTGTCGGTCCGCTATTTGGTTCGTTATGGCGTCGAGGCTTGCACCAAGGAAGGAATTTTTTCTGCGTATTATATCTAAAACTTAATTTCTGTGGATTAATAACAAAAAAAATTGAGAACGTTGTGGTCAGATAAAGCGAAAATTTTAAATAATCCCATCAAAATCAAAATCGATACGTTATCTGAATTATACTATAAATACTAATATAAATAATATAATATAAATACTATAAAATGCAGCTAATACATCGTTTGCTTTATTTATGATGCAAAAGTTATAGGTTACATTTAAACAACACAAGTATCTCTTTTAATATACACTATTGGTGTTGAAAAACACTTGTGGGACAATATTTAGGACTTCTTCCACAACATGTAACTAATTTAAAAGCCACTTTTGAAGAATATTGTAAGAATATTCTAGAAAGACTCTAAGAACGTTGTAGGAATGTTAAAGAACCCCATGTTAGGGAGACTATAGAATCCCATTTTTTTTAATTTTTGTAATGCCGTTCACCCTAGGTTTTTTTAAAGTGTAATACAGAATTATACATATTTGCAGATTTTAGGCATCCATTCAACAGCGGGCGTGCCCTCGCTTTATGACTGTTCAAGAGGGGATGTCGCAATGTTCTTTTTGGTTTCGTAACTGTATTTCCATGATTGATTATATGACGACTGAATCATTTTTAATAATAATTATCGCTAGGGAAATTGGAAATGTTTAATGTGAAGGTGTACTTCTACGACGAAGACCAACCCAAAACCCATTTTCTGGAGCTAGTATAATCTTCTTTCTGGTTAGAACCATAGGAATGGTTGTTTTTTTCGTAGGAACCAATTCAAACTTCGACAGCAGGTGAAAGAATAGAATTTTAGTCTCCATTAGCGCAAAGCGTGATGCTGCAAGTGCAAAATGATCAATCTAGCACCTTCTTTAGGAATACCAACCAATGCAGATGCGAGGTCCAACACCAAAGGGTAGGTATGAAAATGGCTTAATCGTGCACTTATTTTGGTCACTAAATCTCTCCGGGGAAAAGGAGTTTGGATCGCTGAAGTACTTCGGGTCACGGTGTATTGCAAATACTGGTACAGTAACGCTAACTCCTTTCTTCACAGTAATCGAGCGTTGGCCATCGTCGGATGGAATTGCGTAATCCTTTGCGCATACTCGTTCAAGTAAAATGCCAGGAGGCCACAGCCTTAGTGTTTCTAAAATGCACACTCGTCCATTTCTTAATAATCAAACTCAGCGCAACTTACCAGATACAACCATGTCTAAGTACTTCATGCTCAAAAGCGCTTCGTACGTTACTTTTCCATCACAACGCTTCAATACGTCATTGATTTCTTCTTGCAACCTTTGCTGCACATCTGGATTCGCCGCGAGCTCATGGCACATGAAGCATATTAATGTGGAGGTGGTCTCAAATCCGGCGAAAAAGAACATTAGTGCTTGAGCGACAATATCTTCGTCAGTGAGTTCCACGATTCGCCGACTTTCAACAGCTACCTCATTAGAGATTGCAAATTCCTTTGGAGGAACCACATCCTCATCTGTTCCTTTGCCCTGCCTCCTCTCGAGCAGAATATGAATCAAATCCGGCCGAACGAGTCCCTTCTCCTCTCGTTCGCGGATGTTTCCCTTCACGATGTTCGTGAAAAACCCTAAATACTTGCCGGGAAGTAGTGGCACCTTTAACAACTAATACAGAAATTAGACAAGTGCAGGAAGGAGGTTGCTCACCCTCATTAACGCGGGAAAGATCGAGTATCCAAGTAGCTTTAAAGCACGCCAAGTTGTAACGTTGTTCAGGTCCTTTCCCATCAAGAAGAAATCGTTGGTCTTGTCCTCCAGTGAGTTTAAATGGATGCCAAACGCGGCGGTGGCTATTGCATCGTTCGTGAATCGAGTGGAAACGTCCTTGGTATCAACCTCGATCACATCCCCATCATCCTCGTCCAGGAAATGGTCAACGAATTGCACCGCGCAGTCGGAAACCAAATTGAACATGAACCTCATCTTGCTGCTGGTAAACGTGGGACTTAAAGTCGCTCGCATGTCGCGCCATTTCTGATCGAGCAGCGAAATCAGCGCCCTACCAAACAACGGCTCTACCTTTTCGGTTATTTGCACAGTGCGATTTGTGAAATAGTCAAAATCCTTTACTCCGATCCGTTTAACTAGGTTTAAATCCTTAATCATCAGTTGGGGATTGCGGAACGAGAAAATGCCGACGTACCTGTAAACTTACGCCTTACCTTTTCAGGTGCAATTTTCAGGCCTCACCTTTCATTCGGAAACTGATGGTAAATCATTTCGATGAACTCTGTGATCGAATGTTTCCCGGTCAGCATCGGTAGGGCGTTTCCCAGTACTGGCCATGGCTTTATGTGTGGCACGTTTCGATCTTTCCAATAAGTTAACGGCTTAAACAGAGTGTAGTATATGAGAAGCACAAAGAAGCACACTAGTAAGGGTAGAAACATATTCGGCTTGTCTAAAATTGGTACTGATGTTTAGAGTGGAAATTATCGTAGTGTCAATGGTCAATTGCTTACTACTTGTTGATTACTGCGTAGTTTGATATGCTGGATGACTCAAGTACTCTACGTTTTGTAAATGTGGACCCTCTCCACCTGAAACACACTGCGATTTGTGATGCAATCCTGGCTTCGATTTTAGGTATTTATAACTAGCATTGGAGAAAGAGTATTCGCGAGTAGTCGCTTTCTGTAAATGCAAAGGATTACTTTGGCTTATGCTTATACCTATCCTTTGTTTGAAGCTTTCCCAAACGCGTGTAATTTAGAGTATACTACCAAATCCGTTTCATTTCTTAACCGTAGCATTGCTTGAAGTTTTGAATGAATGCACCAAGTGATAGAAGATTAAAAATACCTTTAAGATCTCCTTCATATATGCCGGGCATTATTGATTTTCTGATTCATTATAATAGGCTTTACTGGATTTGGATTTTGCACCTACCAACTTTTATTCTGGTTTTACAACCAGCCTTTGAATGGACGGTGTATTATCTTTTTCAACTGAAGTCATTTTATTGACAAAGACTGTGATTTTTATAAGCAAACGTCATGTGACATTTCCGTGGCGATTGTGGAGTTGCGAATAAACCTCCCACAATTTTTACTTTATTTACCTTATTTTTAGATTATATTTCAGGTATAATCACAAATACTATAACCTGTATAATTGGTCGTTAAAGCCCTTGCAACATTTAGAGGCACTCCGCTACGCGTCGTGCCTTTAAATTCGTTGCGCGTGCTTTAAAGAGTTGTCTCCTAATATACTATTTTTTGTCCTTTGCTTGTGGGCCGATGCTTCGGTCGCTATATACTTACAAAAATGCATTCCCGAGCCCAGATTGGAGGAGATGGCAAGGCTGAAGGTGTAGATGGTATTCCAGTAAATTTTTTAAAATGGTTGCAAGGAGAAGGGTTGAAGAGTTGACAGATTTATAAAATGATCTAAGTGGGGAATGGCCGAAGGAGTTCATAATACCGCTGGCAAAGCAAAATAGCATTAAAAACGTGGAGAGTAGGTACAGAAATTTGGTTGCGCATGTTGCAAAAATATTGATAAATAATCGGAGATTGACAAGACAAATGGGTCACGTGTTAAAAAACTGTTTGTTAGGAGACGTAATGGAACTAACTGTGGGAATTAGGGGTAGTAGAGGACAGAGAACGTGAGGGACGACTTTTGACGTTTTTGCAGTGTATCCCTGTAATTGCGAGTGCTATCAAGGAAGTAAAATAGGTGTAATGTGCTCTTTTTGGGTCATACTTAAAATGGCAAAATTAACATTTTATAATTGATGCTCGCTTAAGAGATAAGGGGGAAAATACAAAAGTTATCAATTTCAGAATGACCCTATATTTTGTTAGTTACAAGGGATGTTTAATAATGATTATTAAAACGGTTTTTTTTATAATGATCGTAATAATCTGCTGTATTCAAAATAAATATACGGGATCCGGTAAAAAAGTTATCAGCGTTAATCTCCCTTCTTTTAAATCGAACACCCTCTATATTTAATCTGAATTAAATTTTTGTTTTTAAAACCACCAGGAATATGCAAACGGATTATTCAATAAAATTAAAAAATATTTGAAAAAGGTTCAAACGATTTAAAAAAAATGCAAAAATTTCTAAAATATTTTCGTACTTTTTTAATACTTTAAAATCATTTTGGATCATTTCAAATCATGTTGACCCATTTGAAAAATTTTTTATAATTTTGAATCATTTTGAACCAATGTTTAATTTTTTTTATTCGTTTGGTATTAGATATATTATTATTCTTGAAAAAAATTCTTTTTAGATTAAATATACAAGGTGTTATATCCGATAAGTTTTTATCTGACTCCGTATATTTATTTTGAAAATTCCAGATTATTTAACAGTCATTATGAAGAATCTTTTAACCAAGAAAATATAGGAATTTTTTTGAATTACTGTTTAATTCCCTCCCTAATTTGACCATTATCGTGTCATGGTTTCCGAAATCCGCATGACAGACATCAACAACACGCATCTGTTACCCTGTACGCAAGGAACCCTAAATCTTAGGTAGGGAATTACTTAATGTATTATTGATTTCTTACCGTCAACGTTTCTTTGGCATTAACAAACAAAAAACACTATTTCAAGATCATAGAGGCACATGAACTAAATTTGTGCAAACTAAAAAAATGACCTCCAATTTTTCCGGCGCTTGAGAAACGAAACGTCATGTTTGTTGTGAACAACTTTGCTCGTGAACCGTGCGAAACTGATTAAATTGTGCATTATTCATACGTTGGATTTAGGTTCTTTTATGAGGTTGAATGATACAAACGCAACGAACTGTAAATAAACCTCCAAAAATTATTACATCAGGATACAGGAAGGCAAAAAATCTATGTAACATATTGACAGGCGTCATGCAAGACTTATTGAACCAGTTCCAACGCAACGTGTAGAAAGCACCTAATATAGTTCCATTTCTTCGCTGTATCCGTTCCTTTCTTATCTCGTGCCCGCTGCCGGATGATGCCTAATTAACTTTTCTTCTGTTTAGTATGTAGATCTGTTTGAGTGACAATCGTCTTTAACTTGAATACTGTACCTAGTTATTTGCCTCGCCGACCGAGGTCGCGCAGTGTCTTCCATAGTGTTTCCAATGTTATTCCTTCTCCTTTATGTTTATCTTGTCTGCGCAGTTGTACTACTTCCTCTTCAGTAAAGTTTCTGCCTTTGAATTGATTACTTGCAAGGGTCTTTTGGTACTCCATTACTTTTACTGACTAGGGTCTTACCTTTCTTGGGATTAGTGATGGGGGGAGTGATTTCTTTCTTTCTCTGTGATGTCTTGGTGACTCCATTGAATCGTTTTAGGGATTAGTATTATTGCATTTGAACAATTCGAGGTATGCTACATAATTAAGCAGTATTCACTCAAAGTTTTTTTTTTATTATCTTTTACGTTGTCCTACTTGGACAACATTGGCACATGTTAGTATTGCTATTTCGCAATATTATGTAGCAGCGCGATTCACTAACACTTTTGTATGCTTGTTGTGTTTTATCGTTAACAGATCTGCATAACGCACCCTTCTGAGCTCATAAGGTTGCGACCCGAAGTTCAAAGGTATATTTTGTTATTTTCGTTGATTCCTTGATTTTTACGTTTGCTTACATATTGGTTTTCGATGCAATCGAATTGTAATTATTATATTTGATTGGTATTCACTTAACGTGTGCTTATCTCAAGGTAATTTTATTACCTTTGCCCAACGTAACAATTTTATTGGAGATTTTAATAGTGTCATGATACAACTAAGCGAGTGTTTCATCTCATTCTGTTTTTGCTTGGATCGATTGGCTATATAATGGATTGGAGGTGGCTGTAGGGAGTTATGATGCTCAAAAATGCGAAGAGCAAGTGGAAATTGTGAGTTGCACCTAAAATCTGTAAAAAAGATGCTGCCCTACTTGCAAACAAGTCCTATTTTCTATACGCAAAGTATAAACCGTCTTGAGAGAAAGGCTTCATCTGAGGACTACGAACGATTTTTCCTGAATGGCTGATTCACCATCAGAAAACCCGAAAAGCAACTGCGATGTCCAAAGACTTCACTTAACTTTAGGGATCTTGCTTTTAACGAGCCGTTACGATTAGCGATCCGAAACAATCATTGCATACTTAATCTCGTTTTATAATTTGAAAGGTGGTTCTCCGATTGGAAAATGTCCCTTCAGGTATATTTGACCACACGCAAATAAAAAGGTTTTGCTAGAAATCAGGCTGCTTAACTAACTCACTTCAAAAAGTTTGCTTTTAACCAGCCGTTACGGTTAGCGATCCAAAGCTATCACAATGATTTTAATATCAGTTTACTTAATCTCGTTTTTAATTTGAAAAGCGGTTCTTCGACTGGAAAATGTCCCTTCAGGTATATTTGACCACTCGCAAATAAAAAAAAAACCTTGCTAGAAATCTCATCCCGTAATTTACGGTAATCTGTCTATTCGCACACATAAAACTGCAGGAAACTCTCCTTCTCGCTACTGAATATGTTTTTACCCAAAGTTAAATTGCTAATTCTTTACTACTATCAACTGTCAATAAATGCACGTTCTGGTTCTCAAAATCTCACAACGAATCTTCACACATCCGCGAAATTTCTCACAACACGCGAAATAAACCAATAGTAACAATAATAATAAACGCACCCCAAATTGTGGGTGCTAACGCTCGTAACTTCACTAAGAATTCAAATTCAGCGTTCCTCTCGTAGTACGTGACAGTTCGCGAAAATCGGCACGGACCTGCTCAGCTTTGAAACTCTTTTGGGTTGAAGATATCGTGGCAACCGCGCTCGCCTTCCCAAATGTTGCTTGTTATCGCCAGACATACTTTTGTTCATGTTCGCTATGAAGCGGTATATATGTAAATTTTCCTGTTTAACAAAATGCAAATTCAAAATCTATTTTTGACATGGTAAAGTGACCACCTGTTACATCATAATCCATCACTCAGTATTCATGACACCCTCATTCATCATTCTTGGATGCGATTTTTGGAGCATGGTAGAAGATCTTGCCTACTGTTCGTGCACAGGAAGCAGGAACTTCTACCATGACAAGGGTGTCATGAATACTAAATTATGGATTGGATTCAAGCCAGGAAAAGACCTTGACGAACTCAAGTTCCCGTTGTTAGCCAAATCGCTTATCAATGTTCATTTCAACCTGGCCGCTGTATCCTGACTGTATCAATCCAGCACTTCCTCTAGGTGTTTCTACAATTGCAGCAGTTGTTGGGGAACCCCTGGATCCTCTAAAATTTGAGGTGAACCACGGCGCCACTCCCGTACTTACGATGAAAGAATCTGCTCCCCTAGACCTCCTAGATGATTTCCTGAACGTGCCTTAAAGGCTGCGCAACTGTATGAATTTGCAGAAAATTAGAAATCCCCTAAGGTTAAAGGTTGTCTTTGTCTTAGTTGTCATGCGTGGAATACCATGTCACAATTCCCAGATATCACTGCAAGAGCTATATGATGAGAAGACCTGGATCGATTATTGAAGGACCACCAAACTCACCAACGCTCAGCTGGACCAAGTTAGGTCACTGGATTCCAATCATCAAATATTGCCCTAGACTTTTTCCCTTTCCGATGTTGATGGTAAAATTTGAATAAATCGTAACTCGAAGTTGTCCTCCCCCCCCTCTAAAAAAAACCCTACTCTATAATACCGAATGTCAATATTCTCGTTGTTAATACTACTTAATTGGAATAAAAAGCAATAGGTATGACCAAGTGATAGGTCAGTCATAGAAATGATGATAACCTCTGATTGCAAAAGAACACATGGCGTTCTACATGCAACAGCAATTTGCCCTCTACATGTGGAATATTCGCAATTATTGCGTTACTATCTCACTTAGTATGACGAACATTGTACGGTACACTCAGTACTACTCTCAAAAATTAAACTTACACATCATTTTTCGAATAAACATCTTTATCAATTTTGACCCGTAAAAGTAATGATATTAACAATAATTGTCATTTTACAATACAAGTCTATTAACATGTTATATTAACGAAATACATTATCACAATCTATGATTACCACACAACGATTAAGTAAATATTTGTTTGTCACAAAAATCCGGTATACGACCGTTTTCATCTGATCACGCTTTGACCTTATTCTTTCAAAACTTGATAAACGAGTTGCTACATCTGCACAGTCGCGTGGACCATGTCTCTCGCATCAGAAGTTAAACTGTCACTGACACCCAATTATCCTAAAAAATTCGCAGGGCTTATAACTGGTGACAAGTGGTTCGAGGCCAAACGAGAGGGCGATGGAGCCGAAGGACTGTGGCGGATCCACGATGGTTTGTATGACGTAAGCGAATTTGTGCAGTCGCACCCCGGCGGGTCGAGCTGGCTGGAGATGACAAAGGTAGGAGCACGCGACGCTTGTTCACAACCTCCACGTGCGCGCTTTCAGGGCACAGACATTACGGAGGCGTTCGAATCCCACCACCTTTCCTCGGCACCAGAGCAAATGTTGAAGAAGTTTTACGTGCGCAAAGCCGTTAAGCATCGCAATTCGCCCTTCACCTTTGAAGAGGATGGCTTCTATCGCACGTTGAAGAGGAACATCCAACCGGTTTTGAAAACCATCCCCAAAAATACGTCTAGGACCACTGATCTAGTGACAGACGCGTTGGTAGTTGCGACGTTCCTCACGGCGATTTGCGCCTGTAAGCTTTCCAGCTTCGCCATCGGCGTTATTTCCGCTTGCATACTTACATTCGGTTCAATCGCCTCACACAATCACTTCCACAAGCGCGACAACTTCAGGATGTACTACTTCAATTTGTGCCTAATGGACTTCAGGTAGCTTTGGTTGTGACTTGTGTTGACACTTTAGACAACTTCCTTTTTAGAGGATGGAGAGTTTCCCATGTATTAAGCCACCACTTGTTCACCAACACCATTTATGATTTAGAAGCTGTCACGTGGGAGGTATTAGCGCCACATTTTCCCGTGAAGAAGCCCTTCTTCACCAAATGCAGATCGTTCGTGACCATAACTTTGCTTTGGGTCGCCTTTTACTTCCTTGCGTACCTGTTCAAGCAAGTACCTGGATAAGTACTTTAGAATTGTCTACTAAAGTCTGTATTTGTAGGATAATTTCCATGATCCAAAGTAGAAAAGTGTACATCTCAGATTTCATACCGTTTACCCTCCCATTGGCAATGTACCTTACTTGCGGGGTAGATCTGCAGGTCGTTTTAAAGATGTGGCTTTTTATAGTTACCGTATCAAGCTTCGTCTTTGCTGCTATTGGAACTAGTGCATCCCACCATCACCCCGACGCCTTCCACGAAGGCGACGCGCCCAGGTACGCAACGTGGGAAACAATAACCAACTTACCCCACAAACTATTTCAGAGCAAAGAAGTTAGATTTCGGCATTCACCAGTTGGACACAACCTACGATCGATGCGAGGTGACCGGAAACCCATTTTTGGTGCTTACAACATTTGGAGATCACGCTCTTCACCACTTGTTTCCGACGATCGATCACGGTGCCTTACAATACCTGTATCCGGTCTTCGAAAAGACCATGAAGGAATTTGGAATTGATAACCAAATGAAGCCACTAAGTGAAATGTTCGTGGGTCTGTACCGACAATTACTGAGAGAGGAACCGCACCTTCTGCCACGTGGTTCAAGGAACACGTAGTATGGTAGTAATAGTGATCTTACGTAGCAACATAATTTTTGTAAGTGCTTGTTCACAATGGACATAAGCGTTACAAAAACATAACAGATACATAAAACATAATATTGACATAAGACATAATTTTACGCAGGTGGAGAAAGTGTTCACAGTGACCGTAAGATTATAATTATCTGCGTAGGCGCAAATCAAAACGTCAAGAACATAACAATATTATTTGTGGTGTATATGTGTGTGCCACTGAGATGGAAATTTCAACAGTTTTATTGCTTTTACTGTTATGAAGACACAGAGACAAAGTTGTTACAAAACAAAAACGGCGTTGGTGGGTCAGACCTATAAATCGAGACCGAGAGAAAAGGGGAGAATTTAAGAATTTAAGCTTGTCTAGAAATGAAGCTGCATGATGAAGAATATGGTTTTTTCATACACCAGGATTATTCGATCACCTATTAACCTTATATCTTTTGTCCCCTTTATTAAACAATTAGGGTTTTAATCGCACCAAACTAATTAATAATTCGACGTCTATACGTTTTCCATGTCGTGTTGGATATAATCAAAAAACAACACACGAAGGACCAAACCACACCAAACTATGAAATAATGCGCCAAAAACTATGTACCAATTTAAAAATAACCAGATTATGTTGGCAGAAGAGATGTCATCGACGTTAGACGTAGTAACTGAAATGTCAAACCAACAGCTGCGTCTTTGTACCCAACAGAAATACACCTAATTCCACTAGATTTTTCATAAAACCTACGTAAAGTTGAAACCGACCCAACTTTATGTATTTTTTATGTACCGTTTCGGTAGGACATAAAACATACGCAAACATTTACAAAAAAATAAAAATTATGTAATCATTGTGAACACATACGTTGGTTTGCTACTATTCAACATTATGAATTATGTATCTGTTATGTTTTTGTTATGCTTATGTCCATTGTGAACAAGCACTAAAGAAATTGTTTCAACTTAAAGATTGATACTTACAATGTTTATTACTTTCCTTTCCATATGTATATCCCAATTAAAATTGCAGAGAGCAAAAAGAACAAAAAATCCAAAAAAGTGTACAAGAATACCAAGAGAAAATGGAGAAGAAGGTATAACTACAAGAGGATCAGGAGAAAATAGGAGGGTGGATAGTCAAGATCATACAATATTGGAAATGCAAGAAAGTCATGAGCATTTCCGAGCGCGAGTAATGGCTGTGGTTGGTGAACTGGAAGCAGTGAAGAAGAATGAAAAGAGAATTAACCAACACGATGCAGATATTGGAAAATCAAAGCAAAACTAGAAAAAAACGACCTTTTCCCCGTCCCTTATTTATAAGGCCGATCTCATGCTACACCAGAAACCGAAGAAATTTAATGGCAACATCCAAATCATCCCAAAAAATTTAAAGGAATTAACCAGATAAATTAACATACGCGAAAGGGGTGGTTGAAAAAAACGCAATAACCAGGGACGAAATGAACAGGAACAAGTGGGAAAATTGGGAAATGTTTAAAGAAGAATTTTTCACATTGGTTCGAGGGTGGCCAATGCAAAATTCGACTGTGATTAGCCACGCCCCATTTATTATCAAGTTAAATTAGGAAGATACAGCGACCACGTTTGGTACTGGGTCAACAAAACGACTCACTTACATCCGCCAATACGTTATCGCGTTCGCAGACGGACAGACGGGCACCATCGACTCCCCTATAAAGCTTCCATCCCTTTGCTCTGCCGCTTAATAAGTAGAATCGGTGGTTCATTGGGTCCGTTTCGCCAGTAGGATTCGGCGAGTACATATGAAAAAATTATCAAAGTCCTCGTGTGAGATCGAAGGGACTTCAGCGCATTTTTGTGTGGCAGATCAGTATTCTATTAGCCACTTTTTACTCAACCATGAATAAAAGATCTTGTCGAAGGATACCACATTCCCTTTGACGGTATCCACTTCCGACGTCCCGTTCACCCGCAATTCGCGTTTGAAGATTTTTCTCCACCATCAGTTAGATCTTGTCGGAGGCTACCACATTTCCTTTTTCGGTGCATACTTATATTACACCCACATTTTGGTGGATCTCGCTAAAAACCTTTCACAAGATAGTACTTAATTTTTGGGGGGCACTTCTCATTGCTCGAGCTTCTATTGGCGACACGAGAAAGAGAGACCGCCATTCGAGATTTACGAAACGTTAAAACGCGTGACAGAATTCGCAACGGAAGGTAAAAGCTTTGAAAAGAATCGGACCAAAACTGTAGTAGAAGATAGGAAAAAACTGAAAAACCTTCACGTTAGTATACTACGCTCGAGGATGACGCCCAGATGTCGCCAACCCCACATCATGTAGCCCTGCCCCCAAGGTTTACAAATTACACGGCCTTGTAGATACACGTACACCCGTTGCCTTTCTACAAGAGTTCTTCTACGCGCCCACATTTGCTGCCAGCCAGCCAGCCAGCCAGCCAGCCAGACAGCCAGCCAGCCAGCCAGCCAAGTGAGATTAAAAGCTACTTTTTACAAATAAATTTGCAAAAATGCGCTAAAAATGGGGTGGGAGGGAGGTACTCTTAGCCAAACTTCCGAGGGAAAATCTAAGCAATTTAAGCACTTTTTTAGATCGCTTAACACGAAATTCTTCGCCAAGCTTTCAATGTGAATCGCGAGCAGATTTGTTTTTAATTTAAAGCTCAAACCACAGTATAAAGAATCGATATAGCCACGCAACCCGAAAACTACCACCAATTTCGACGAAATTATTGTCGCGAGTGCTTCATCAATTCATTGAGAGCTGCCATTTGGAACAAAACCAATAATAAGAAGCGTTTTTTATGCAACATGGGATTTTCGTCGTGTGGTAAAAACTAATTAACGGCGAATTTATGTTCAAATGTAAATATAGTGCGAATATGTAACTTTTTATTATGCCTGCATCAGAATCGCTATTTAAAACATGCCTGGGTGTGCGAAAAAAGGCAACTAAAGCAGGTCGAGCTTTAAAGTTGAGATGTAACGTATGTTAATTCAAATGTAACATATCATATGAAACTATAATCTGGGACTGAAATAAGAAATCCTTTCCGATCACTTTCTGCAAACGCAAAAGTTGTATTTGGTTCGGGTCCTTTGTTAATATTAAAATGCTTCACTCGTCGTAAAATGACACTGCTTGCTTCGGAAATAATTATTTCCGCGCCAGTAATGTGTTATTTTTCTGACCTTTATGTAAATAACTATTGTTTGAAAGATGCTTTCTAAGCATGCATGCCAACAGCCCTTCATATTGTTTATAAATAACCTTTTGCATTTGGATTTTGCAGGTTCCAACTTTCCTTTTGCTTCTGCAATAAGCCACTGAATGGACGGTGTATCATCTTCTTCAACCGATCATTTTTATTTATAAGCAAACGTCAAGTGACATTCCTAAGGCAATCATGAAATTACGAATAATCAGCCCATTTAGAAATGTATCCAATATGATTTCATTCTATTTCCCTTATTTTTACATTATATTGCAGATATAACAAAAATACTATAAGAAAAGTTAGTTGGTCTTTAAAGCACTTGCAACGTTTATTATGTTGTTTTAGTGGCTTCACACACCAAGGTATCAACCACCTTCTCATAAATTTGGGGTGGTCTGCAAATTATGTTGGAGCAGTATTCGAGTAAGAATTCCATTGAAATTAGTGGCGTTCCCGAAATAAAAGGTGAAGAAATAACGAACGTCGTCACTGCAGTAAGCGGCGCGGTAGGATTTACCTTAAATAGATCAATGATCGATGCATGTCACCGGCTAGGAAAGAACCCCAATAAACCCAACGAACCTAGGGGGATCATACTTAAGTTTGTTAGCAGGATGGACAAAGATCAGTTACTTAAGTGTAAACGTATCAAACGCAACGTGCACGTAAGTGATTTAGGGGAGATGTTCTCTAGACTTCCGAACGTAAATCCAAACAGCAACATTTTTATTAACGAGTCGCTATCCCAGTTCAATCGTGTGTTATACGCCAAGGCCAGACTGTATTCAAAGCAAAATAATATTAAATTTGTGTGGATTCGCAACGGTCAAATAGCCATGAGGAAAGTCGAAGACAGCAAGATATTCGTGATAAAATCTGTTGATGACTTTAAGGATGTCCACTAAGCCTAAGCTGATAATGATTACAATATTAGTTTTGATTATTCATATGACTTGCATTAGACATTTAAATCTCAGCTTATCACATTCGCATATTGCGTTCACTTATTTTCACCTCTGTACGTCACTTGATATTATTTCTTTTTGTGTTTTCGTCACTAATAATTCATTAGATTATAGGAGTTAAATATTAAGTTATCAGAACCTTGCTTTGCAATTAGATTTAGTAAAATATTTCCGATAAAAACGTGTTTTTTGATTTTAAAATTCCCATGTACTCATCTTGTACATATTAGGTATGTTCATTTATTTGAAGTTCTGCATTCAGTAATTTCTTAAACATAGCTCATTTAAACGTGCGTTCACTAACTAATAAATTTTCAGATTTTAAACAACATGTCTTGTCAGGCAATTATGATGTTATTGGAGTATCTGAGACATGGCTGGTTCCAAGTATCAGTGATTCTAGTATAACAATAAATGGGTTTAATTTTGAACGTTCTGATAGGAAAACCGGAAAGCGTGGTGGTGGAGTTGGAATCTATATTAAGCATGGTCTTAGGTATAAAGTATTACATGACGTAGGTGACAATGACTTTTTTGAACAAATTTGGGTAAGCATAAACCTTGTACATAATGTTATTAATTTTGGAGTCATTTATAGAAAGCAGGAATTTTCAGTCATGGATTTTTTAGGTAAGTTTGAGGATTCGCTTGCTTGTGTTCTGCCAAAGGGCGATGAATTAATATGTGTCGGTGATTTTAATTTAGATTTATGTGATACTGGTCGTACGTCAACTTTTCAATTCAGTAATTTACTCGAGACGCTCGAGTTAAAACAAATTATTGACGAACCTACTAGGATAACAAAAGCAACGGCTACCTTAATTGATTTTATTATTGTTCCTGCCAGTAAGGAAATTGCCCACCATGGTGTTATTTCGTTGCATGAAGTAACTGATCATTTTCTAGTTTTTTGTAACTACCCAGTGACTACTAAGCAAAGTAAAGTGCCTACATTAATTACGTATAATGATTTTTCAACATTTTCAATCAATAATTTCGATAAGGACTTGCAAAGTATTGACTGGGATTATATTTATACTTGTGATAACGTTGAGCACATGGTTGATTTTCTTAATTACAATATACTTACTATTTTCGATTGCCATGCACCTATAAAGACTGTGCGAGTCACTAAACCAAGAGCTCCTTGGCTTACTGACACTATACGTCAGATGATTCTTTTACGTGATAAGGCTTTAATGAAATTTAAAAAATCAAAATCGTGCACAGATTGGAATTATTATAAGGCAATTAGAAATTATACCACTCAGGCTATTAGAAGGGAAAAGAAAGCATTTTTGGAAAACCAACTCCAACAGCTAGGAAAGGGAGTTCCCTGGAAGAACTTGAGAGATCTCAATGTATACTCGAAAGATAAATTAACTGTGCCACCAAATCTATCTGATGTGAATGCCATCAATAAAGTCTTTACAAGCTCTGTAGATTCTGATCTTGGGATAGCTTCTGATACAGTTAAGTATTACACCGAGCATACATGTGAGAAAATTGTTAGTACGTTGCATTTTCGTGAAGTTACCGAGATGGATGTTTTAAATGTGTTATTTAGTATTAAAACAAAGTCTGTTGGATCAGATGGAATTGGTACAAAAATGTTGTGTTTATGTTGCCCTTATATTGCACCACATTTAACCTACATAATAAATTTTTGCTTAAAATCATGTACAGTACCAAAAATTTGGAAAAATGCCAATGTTATACCACTACCGAAAGTTAGTAATCCTGAAAGTTATTCTCAATTGCGACCAATAAGCATTTTACCAATTCTTTCTAAAATTTTAGAGAAGATTATGGCATCTCAGATAAAATACCATCTGTCTGATAATGATATATTACCACAGTCACAATCTGGGTTTAGAGAAAACCATAGCTGCAGCACCGCGTTGTTGAATGTTACAGACGATATTTTTTCAGCCTTAGATCAGGGAAAACTTCAGTGATGGTATCACTAGATTTTACTAAAGCGTTCGACTTAATAGATCACAATATATTGATAAGCATTTTGCATTATTTTGGCTTTAGCAACAATGCGTGTGCTCTGATTAAGAACTATCTTACTGATCGGACGCAACAGGTAGTATTGAATAATAATAAATCATTGTCAACACCTGTAGCAATGGGAGTTCCACAAGGGTCGGTGTTGGGACCTCTTTTGTTCATTATATACACTGCCACCCTCCCCAATTGCCTGAAATATGCAACGTGCTATCAATATGCTGATGATACGCAGTTACAATATAATTTCTTTAGTAAAGATTTAGACCTTGCGAATGAGAGAATGAATAGTGACCTCAACGACTTATTACAATCGGCGAAACAACTTAACTTAAAAGTAAATCCATTAAAATCCTCTGTAATCATCTTTGGAGGAGCAAAAGAAAGAGAGGCCTGGAAAGATTATATAATTATAAAAGTGGGCGATGAAATTCTACCAATTAAAGATGATGTGAAAGTTCTTGGGTTAGAAATTGATTCCAAGTTGAGATTTAAATCACTTGTTACAAATAGGATAAGAAAAGCGTACTCAAATTTAAAATTAATTTTTAATCAACGTTCTATACTTAATCAACAAATGAAAATTTCGCTTTGTAACTCACTTGTCCTGTCACAGTTTGTGTATTGTGCTAATGTGTACGGACCATGTTTGGATTATGATTCCAATAGAATCCAAAAAATTCAAAATTCCTGTTTGAGACTAATTTATGGAATAAGAAAGCATCATCATCACACAAATTGAAAGGAACCGGATGGCTAAGCATGAAAAATCGTAGATATGTGCATGAGATGGTCTTATACCATAAAGTGGTAACAATAAATGAACCTCTTTATTTATATAACAAAATTCAATTTAGTAACAACCCTAGATTTGTTAACTTAATTATACCACCAATTCATAAAACGGAATTATATGAAAGATCATTTTCATACAATATTTCTAAAAAATATAATGCTTTAAGCAATAGTTTAAAAAACATACCCGTCGGGAAATTTAAGAAGGCACTTCATAACATTGTTGTTGTTAGGCAAACGTTTGAGTTGAGTTAAATTTTATAACCCATTTGACTGTAAGTTATTTATTTTTATTTTTTTTCATACATTTTGTATTTCATAAAGTTATTAATGTTCTTATTTTTATTCCCATTACAAAGTAATTATTTATTTTTCTGTACAATTCCCAATTAGATTTTGATTTCTATTCATTATAGTAGGGTTAAGTGTAAGACCAGAGTTGGGTCGCCCAACATCTGAACTTCGCCCTGTTAAATTGTGTGTGTGGCATGATCTAATAAAAGATTTTATTATTATTATTATTAATTATAGATCATATCATGTAAACAATGATTCGGGGAAAAGTAGTGTAATTTCCCACTAGACCGCCCTCTAGACTCCCAGTGCATTCATTTCCCATTTGTAAGATGCAACTTATGTTAAAATCGTAAAAATCCAACCACAAATAAGAAAGATAGGGTTGCATATGTGCAATCCATTTTTGACGTACTACTTCAGTTTCATTTATAAGAAGAATCCCACCCTTAAAATTTTAGAAGAATTAGTATACAAATAACGAATGTGGGCCTGGGCATGCGCAATAATTGTTTTGCGTAATTTTGGTCGGAACGGATTGCGCGGGCGCAAAACAAATTTATTTGATTTGGCATTACTTTTACCTCCATTCGAGGTGCCTACATACAAAATTTCATTTAAATATCTTAACACATAGAAAAATTGGATTACGCATGCGCAAAAGACATTTTTTGATTCGACATTAGTTTCACCTTTGTTCGAGGTGCCTACAAAATTTTATTTAAGTATCTTCAGAAATAAAAAAAATCGGATTGCGCATGCGCAAAACAAATTTTTGGATTCGGCATTAGTTTTACCTTTATTTGAGGTGCCTACAAAATTTCATTTAAATATCTTAACAAATAAGAAAACTGAATTGCGCAAATACGAAAGTTACGACAGACAGACGGACGGATAGACAGACGGACGGATAGACAGACGGACGGAGACAGACAGACGGGCAGACGGTGATAAAACATAATAAATAAAGAAACGATCGGATCGTCAATAAACGGCAAAAGTGTAAAATTATGGTACATGCAAGAAATAGATTTTTTGCCATAACTTTTTTCTTAAACGGCACAGAAAATTCCTTTCTCGACACCATAACAAACCAAATAGCCAAATAAGTAGAACAACAGCTCTTAAGATAAAGAACTACCAGCGACCGGACGGACAAAGTGGCAACAATAGCTAATCGCTATAATATTAAAAACGTGCTGGGATTTTTGACACAGTCCCTTTTTTGGTCAACCTTTTTTCTATACATTCCGGCACAAAGGTAAGATTAACCCATGCGCGACATTAACATTATGCTTAGTTTCAACAGTATACAGCGCCAAAAGTATACAAGGTTTGGTTTCCAGAACATCTAAAAATTGTGATAACCTTCAAAGGGAATGGTTTGCTGGCAAACTTTTACGACACAAACCGGCACAAACGTAGCACTAACCAATCCACCTGGTCTCGAAATTTGTGCCGCCAATTTTCTGCTAACTTCACGGATCCTAATAGAGCTTCATAAAGCTGTCTTGTCATCGTCATTAAATTATTAAGGTAACTACAGCTCGAACACTACCGGAAGAACCCCTAACTAATTTAAATGTGACAAATCGTTTAATTATAATCTCCAGCTCACTTGTCATGTCTATCGTTTTGTGTTGTATCGTCTAATGTCCTTTTGATGTTGTGACTGGGATAAAGTTAACCATGCGTGCTCTTCGAACTTTATGAAAGGTGAAATTTACATATTCAATTATTGTTTTGTAAACTAGTCAGGTGCAGAACGGGGGAAGTTTTAAAATTAGGGTTGCGATAAAAATATAGATATATATGTGAATCGCATGGATGAGATCAATGCAGTCGCCGTAGCTTACAACGCATGGCTTAGACGCTCGGAAGGACTTTAATATATCGAAAAGATTGCAAAGTACCTAAGTCAATTTGGCACGAAATTAAAGACCTTCCGAGTAGGTACGTGAAAGTTTCTACATTTTCTGCGCTGATTGTAATAACTGTAAATTGTACTTAGTTATTAGGGGATTATGTCCTAATACCTACGTTACATTTCCTTGAAGCATTTTCCCTGAGAAGCCTGTAAAAATAGCGAAACACAAATCGAATTTACAGTGAAGATAAGACTTTCGATTTTTTACTTTGTTTAAGCGACAAAGAAGGATTCTCTTAAAGGCGTTCAGAGTTTAGGGGATTGCAACCACGTTCTCGAGCTTAACGGGGTTTTGCACCAGGGTTTGCACAATCAAGGGGAGCCGACAGATTTGGGCCGTAGGTGTGTTCTACTTCTCTTTAACTCGTAAGTGGCCATTGAAGCCGCCGAAATGCCCGCTCGATATGTTTATTGTGGTCTAACTCGACCGTAATCTCGTAGTGTTAAATGTACTCAGGAGAAGCGAAAACTATCTGCATCCACAAAAAAACTCTTACCTTTTATTTTATCGCAACCGTCGCAACTTACACATATATCAGCAATAAATCCTAGAAGACGCTCTCATAAAATTTTCGGGCTTCAGTTAAACACTGATTTCAGAAAGGGCGAGTGTGCTAAATGATGTTATCGTATCATCCATTTACGATGATTCATACGTTACGTTTGTTTTATCGTTATTTTTTCCCTACTTTGGGAAGCTTATTTAGTCTTTTATGAACTCAAAACGGCGACTACTAAAACAATTATAAAGTTAACAGATTATGATGCCAAAAAAACGAGCAAACAGTCGACTTTTGATCAAAGGGGGCTGTTTAAAAGCTTTCCGCCACACAAATAAGCAGTTTTATGTTCGAGAATTTTTGTTGTCCCGTTTTATGAATTAAGAAAAAATACTGCTCGTCGGTTTTCCGAAGAGGTTTTTGGGAAAACTGCCAATAAAAGATTCACGAACGTCTTAGTCTAAAGTATGCCGGGAACATTTTTACTTGGAAACCTTTTTAGCTACAGTTCAAGTCTGAATAGTTGAAGCAAGTTACTAACCCTAATTAGTATACGTTGATTGTATTACGTCTTGCTTAATTAGATGGAACTGTTACTTCATCATGGCATAAAGCAAAATAAGTATAAATTGTGCAGATAGAGCGCATTTTTTTAAACCGTAATAGCTTAGTAAATGGTTAGGTTATAAGGTGGTAGCATGCTATCGATGCTTACTTTCTTGGTAGATGATTAATGGGGAGGAGACTCTTTACACATACAAATTGAAAGGCCGCCATGCATACGTTCAAAATCCTCCGACACTCCATTCTGCATATATTTGCACTGAAAGCTTTGACATCAACAATAGATATGTCTCGTCCGGTTGATTCATTTTGCCTTTGCGAGTACTTTCCTCCGACAAACCGTTTTCGAGATATTCGCTCTTAAAGTTTTGATATCAATAAATGGATCTAGCTAGACGTACCAA